ATTAGTTTCCACCCATTGCTTCTTGTTCTACACTCAGGTGCTTTGGAGAATAGCTTGACTCCCTCTTCTTTGTGGCATCCCCTAGGCTATTGGAACACTGCTATCATGTCTCCCCTAGTCCTTCTTTTAATTAAACACTTTTGATAGCATGCTTGTCAATAACTCAATCAACCTGTGATTCTCTGAACTGGAGAGCTTCAGTTCTCTGAACTGAAATATCAGGGTTGTTTTTTTTTAGCTCTCTAAATTTTAACTGCCAAATATCCAAAGTTTAGCTGCCAAATGATACCAGCAGAGAAATCTTGACATATATTATACCCCAAAATCCAGGGATATATGAACAAATCAAACATTCATTTCTCTAGAACTATCCAGTGGTTCAACAGAGGATTAAGAAAAATACTGTTGTCATAAGACTTCTTTATAAATGACCGAGAACCTACATTTAAATCAAAACTGAATAGTTTTATTTAATGGCTCTCAGTTAAAAACATATCTGAGAAACAAACAATAAGACAACAGACAATGAAAACAAATTATATTTACTTACCCAGTTTCCCTCAAAATATGACTTCCCCGGATAATAAGCCCAATCGGGCTTTTGAGCGCATGCACTAAAATAAGCCCTCCCACCAAAATAAGCCCTCCCCAAAAATATTGCAACACAGCAGCAGCCATGAGGTGACCATGTTTGCTGCCTCCTCCACCTCAAAAATATTAAGACCTTCCTGAAAATAAGGCCAACACTTATTTCAGGATCAAAAGATCTGTCTTATTTTTGGGGAAACACAGTATTTACTTCATTAAAAATATGCATGGCTACAAACAATATTGCAACTGAGCAGTACACAGGGGAGCATTTTTATTATTATTAAAAGGCATTTAGAATTAGGTAACAGCAACAGTAAATGCCTAAAGTTAGAAGTCCTCTCAATATTAGTTTTACTCTAGAATAAATTACTTTCAAATCAGTGCATCTGCCCAGTTCCTTCTGTATAAACCTGATCTATAAACTACTGTATTTTTTTTAAAGTACAGTTATGATCTCAGCTTTTTGAAGATAGGCTAAGAGGGGGATACAAAAATATGTTTCTAACTTGAAACGCCATAAGCCAGGATAAGTTTCAGTATGCAATCTTACTCCAAAAATATTTAACAGCATTACAGCAGCATTTTCCGTGAAATGCAAAGGTAGTCTTCGATTTATGCTTTAATATGTTGCTAAGTGAGACAGTTAAGTGAACTTTGCTCCATTTCACGAACTTTTTGCCATAGTTAAGTGAATCGATGCAGCTGTTAAGTTAGTAACATGGTTGTTAAGTGAATCTTGAATTTGCTTGACAGATGGTCACAAAAGTTGATCACATGACCCTGGGACACCGCAACTGTCATAAATACGAACCACTTGTCAAGCATCTGAGTTTAGTCACGTGACAATGGTGATGCTGCAATGGTTGTGTGAAAAGCGGTCATAAGGCACATTATTCAGTACTTGGTAATTTCAAACAACCACTAAATGTTGTTAAGTCGAGGATTACCTGTATAATTTTTAGGCCATCATTTTGGTTCCTTATATAAAGCAGCATGTTTTGAACAATTCACACTGCTTCATGGCAGGAAACACAACAGAAACGTAGAACTAAACTAAATGTCTTCCTTTTTCAAGACAACCATGACCTGGATGACTGAGAATCTTCATTGACACGCTAAACTAAATGGAAACCTTCATATATAAGAAAAAGGAAAGGAAAACGAAGAGAATCCCTAAGCCAAGCACACCTTATGAACATGTCACTCACTGCATCGTAGCTTCTAACTATACAGTGTAGAAATAAGTAGCTTCAACAGGATATGATTTAAATCTATATAAATTTTATTAGAAATTCTGAAACAAGGTTACTTTTCATGGAGTTTAAAAATAAGGATAGGTAAAGGTAAATGTTCCCCTCGCACATATGTGCTAGTCATTCCCGACTGTAGGGGGCAGTGCTCATCTCCATTTCAAAGTCAAAGAGCCAGCACTGTCCGAAGACATCTTCATGGTCATGTGGCCGGCATGACTAAATGCCAAAAGCACATGGAATATTGTTACCTTTCCACCAAAGGTAGTTCCTATTTTTTCTACTTATATTTTTACGTGCTTTCGAACTTCTAGGTTTGCAGAATCTGGGACAAGTAATGGGAGCTCACTCTGTTACGCGGCACTAGGCAGTGGTGAAATGCATTTTTTTTTACTATCGGTTCTGTGGGCGTGGCTGGTGTGGCTTGGTGGGTGTGGCAGAGGAAGGATACTGCAAAATCTCCATTCCCACCCTTCTCTGGGGCCAGCCAGAGATGGCATTTGCCTGTTCTCCAAACTACTCCAAACTTCCACTACCGATTCTCCGAACTACTCAAAATTTCCGCTACCAGTTTTTCAGAACCTGTCAGAACCTGCTGGATTTCACCCCTGGCACTAAGGATTCAAACTGCCAAACTGCTGACTTTTCTGATCGACAAGCTCAACTTCTTAGCCACTGAGCCACTGCATCCCTTGGAAAAATAAGGATACTGAATGGTGTGTTTATAGGAAAAGTTGTTTTTTCTAGGAAATGAAAACATTTTCTTCCCAGTAGAGGACTATTATTTAAATAGTAGACAAATCTCCATATATTCACTGTTCTCTTTCATCGTTAGAAATGATTACAATGAAAATCATATTGAAAATGATTAGAAACATTGCTGGGACATTTTTTTAATCTATGTTTACCAGGGTCGTTTTATTGGACAAAATTTGTAATCTTCAAACCAGATTCCAATACTGACTGGGGAGGATTACTTCTTATGTGTGCCGTTTCCTCCCTTTATTTAATATTCAAATGTTACTGACAATCAAGGGGCCACACTGCCTATCCCATTTAGAAGACAAGCAGCTGAGAAGAAAGCATTTTCAAGGCTTCACCTTTACATGGTGCTAAGTCAAACTCAGGCTAGCTAGGAACCCTTTGAAGCAAACCAACCTAAATATTCCTGCTAGGCAGACTGAGCAGAGGAACTGAATTATAATGAACCACCAGCTGTCACAATATGACCACAGTAACCAAATCAAAATATCAGCCACTAACCCAGATGAGATTCAAAAGGTCACCGTATAAAGCCAGCAGACTTCTTCAAGATCACCCGAAAGCTCGGTCTAAATCCTAGCAGTGAAATGTTCTATTAACCCACGGGGAGTATAGAAACAAGTTGCAATGTATTGGTAAATGATTTAATGTACAGGCGTGATAACCTAGGCTGATAAGAACTCACAAAAGAGGCTTCTGAAAATTGAACAGCAAATCTGGAATGGCGTGTATCTATAGTAATATATTCTAACTTCTATATAGTGCCAGGAAACATGGAGAAAATCTTACTGGCTCCACCGTGCACCATTGATTTATCCTTCAAAATGGAGTGTAGTTGATTGGGAGGACTACAAAATCTTGGAAATGAAATTTGACTTTGATCATGGTAAATAAGAGTTTTGCTCATTCCCTCAGCTAATTATTTC